ACTTTTAATTAAAGGCCAACAAAAATTTGGAACTAAACGTTTATGGTCAACTTGAATTTGTGGGGAAACGCTGATGATCACTATGATTGCACTATCAGGTTTGTTCTACCCTAAGCAGGCTAGCCGAGTGAATTCCATGGACTGGTTAATAAAAAGCTGTTATTTAACATGGATGAACTACAAATAATACTTCTTTTAGCAAATTCCAGTGAGTACATCTTTATACCTTATATGCCGAGTAAGGACAATCAGCAGTCCCTATCAAGTATCTGAAAATATGGCTGCAGCATAGCTATGAGTGAACCAAGATGCTTAGTCACCCTACAAGTAACCAAAAAGGAAAGGAAATGGAAAGCACCATTTACAAGCACTGAGATACTAGAAGAAGATGCAAATTATGCTACAAAACATATTTAAAAATTTGCACGCTTTTATGTGCACACACACCGCACCCATAATTCATTGTATGTAAAGTAGCTTTATGAATCAGATCTTGTGACACCGTTTATACTTTTTAATAAGGATATACTGTCACAAATCTTCCTGCAACTCCAACCTTGAACATGGCCACGTGTTGCAAACAAGAATACTATGTTTCAGAGAATCTATTTATGTTGCTTTGTTATTCAGAGAAGCTTACACCATAGAGAGGGTGGCTGCATATTTCAAAGCTTCAGCTTCTACAACTTCTTTTTGACCATCTTGGTTCACATTGTGACTGCCACAATCTCATCATCTAACAAGTTGGATTTTGGAGCGAACTGGAGTAAAACAGAACTAAGTAAACAAATTGCAGTTCAACAGCACACACACCTAATGTGATGAAAAATAAAAAATGGCTATATGAAAGGCTAAGTAAGATGGGGAGAACTAGATGTGTTCAAAACCACAGATGCATTGACATGTATGGGTTAATATAATAGAACAAATAAAGTTCGTGAATGTAGACATTCACAAATCGCAATGAGAAAAGGGGCAAATAAGGTCATGTACTAACCAAAAAAGGTCAAATAAGACCTTATTTAAGAGGCTCTGAACCGCCATCGCCATTTGGGGTGATTCCTGGTGGAATTTTTTGATGAAATTTTTTGAACATCTTATTCAGTAAGTCTAGTTTACTCATACCAAATTTCAGCTAAAACATCAATCCGGAAGGCATTCAAATGAATTCTTGAAGATAAAATGGTCAAAAAAATTCATCAAAAAATTCCACCGAGAACCACCCAAATGGCGAAGGCCAGCCAGAGCCTCATAAATAAGGTTTTATTTGATCTTTTTTTGTTAGTACGCGGCCTTATTTGCCCCTTTTCCCAATCGCAATTAATCTATGGTAAAAATTAATCTGTGGCAACAATTAAGTTATGCCAACAAATTAGCATCTTCCTACACCCAAAGAAAACCAAAAAACACATATGGATTGATTAAATTGCAAAACTGTTCAAGAAAAAATTAGGTAATTAAGTTGATGCAAGTAGAGAAACCAGAACTACTAAGACGATCAAATTAGTACTGCCTACTGAACACCGACTAATCAGAATTACCAGAGCACTGGTATGAGCTAGAATTACCAGAGGCCAAATATCAAATAAAGGATTACGGAAATCAACTATAACGAACATATGATGAGGTAAAGAGGAAATAGACCTCAGATCTGGTGTTCATATGGCTGACATCGACTAAAGAACCAGTGGCTGACCGATCACGCGGTAAATCACAGGCGATTCGAATTGGAGCTTTTGAGACCCGATCTCAACATTTGAGTACAGTTTCTGGGCGTGTGCTTTGTAATTGGAGTTGTACCGTTCCTTCTCTTCCCAGCGTCAATGTGCTGCATCCCGCTACTATTTTTTATTCATTTTTTCTTCAAACTTTAAATCCTAATGAAAAAGTAACAGATTAGAGTTTTTTTTTTACACATCTATTCACACATTTGTACATTTACTTGTCTACAGGGAATTGAGAGAGAAATGATGTCTTTTTCTTAACGAATTGTCTGTGTAAATAAGCAAAATAAGAGGATGGGTACAAAAGTATGTACAAACAGATATTTTGTTCCAAAATTTCTCAGAGATTTACGTTTACAGACTTGACTTCCACTTTCAATTATTTTTTTTTATTAATACAAATTATTACGGAGTACTACTTTGGTACATTATTTTTAGACATGAAGGCATTGTTCTAAAAGGTGGCAAAAAACAGGGTCTAGACGCGTCTAGGCGTGACACAAGGGAGAAATGCCTCGTATAGTGGAAAAGCGTGGAAAAGACGTTCAACTCAAGAGTTGACCACCAAAGGCGTGAAAAGGTGTAAGCCCGACTACGTAAAGGCGTGCAAAGGCGGAAGTTTTTTAGATGAAATATTTTTTGCAAAGAAAAAATTGATTAATTTTAAAAAATACTTTTATAATCATGTTATATATGGAATCTAATACAGAGTAGTAAAAAACAATGACCTATAATTTTTATTTGCATTTTTTATAAATTTAAATATTATATATATTGAACAAAGTAAAAATCAGGTTCAATCTTGTATAATATATTTTGGACATTTATTTTCTTCTTCGTTTATGAGTATATAGTACTCCATTGTTTACGAAAGAGTGATATTACAATAGTGATATTGAAAAGAAATAGTGATATTACTTTCAATCTTTATAATCTTTTATGATATTCGTACAAAAAAAAGAACTAAACACCAATGATTTTGCAATGGAGCAAAAGATTCATTATTTTTTGCCTTGAAAATATGATGGAATAAAACAAAATGACTCACTAAACTGTCTGCGCTTCTTTGTTATGAAGCAGCAATTAGTCCATGCAATTTGAACGCGATTTTCACTATGGGTCATCCGGAAACAATCTTTATGTGATTTAGTACAGGGGTAAGACTTCGTACATCCGACCTCCCTTTACCCCACCGTAGGTGAAAGCCTTTGCGGCACTGGGGTAAATGAAAATGATGAAAAATGATGACATTCTCAATTGTTTAGCCAAATATTTGTACAATTTACAAGCTTATGTTTCGCGTTAATATATTAAATCTATATTGATATTACAATTTACATATTTACAAGATACTATAATGTTAAATTGAAATCTTAAGTCGAACTTTAATATTGACCAAAAGTATACTAAAAGAATTATATTGACCACACTAGAAATTGCACATTTTCCAATATAAATTACTCTTTTTTTTATGGTATATATAAATTACTCTTTGAAAAACATTTGACCTAATATCGGGCTATGGCAATATTTAGGGACGATTCGATTTAAGAAGAGACGGGCCTCATCTCTATGACACATTCAAAATCCACATTCTTTTCTAACTCACAAAAAATCCACTAATGGAGGGTTTTGAATCTAATGGAGCTCAAAGACCAACATAATGCCTATCTTTTTCCCCCAAAAAAAACATAATACCTATCTTTGAGGGGGGCAAAGAAGCAACGCCTTTGAAAACGATGACAATAACAAAATCATTTCAATGTATGAATCAAATCCAAGAGCTATGATATAAACTCGAGTTCGTATATGGTGGAACCTTCCCACGATGAGCACCGTACTCCTGCAATCAAAACGACACAGCTTTGATTTTTTTAATAAAAAATTCGCGCATGAACAATACGCGTGTACAGTATTTTTTGGTTTTTGTTTTTTTTTTCTTTGTCCCGGTAGCAGAGTGATGTCACTCATGTGTAACAAAATGTAACTCACGTTATTGATCAATGTAACTCAAGTCCAGTCGAAATGTAACTTGTCCAATACATATTATAAGAAATAAAATACTGATTTTAATAAAAAAAAGATAATCTAATTGACTAAACTTTTTACATAAATAGTGTATGTGTTTTGTTTTAAATATCAGGACTATAAAAATGTTTTTTTTTTATGAAAATGATTTGTTTTTTGATAACAGGGACTTGTTATGTTGTGTAACTCACATTCTATTTCAGCGTAACTCACATTATGTAAAATATAAATCACATGTAAATAAGATGTAATTTGGTAAGGAAAATTAACATGTAACTCACTTTAATAGATATGTAACTTTAGGCAAATTCTGACGTAACTGCATGTATTTTCAAAAGTAATTAATCTGCTCCTTTTTCATTGTCTCCTGCATGGCTGCAAGTCATCCTCCAAATTGGAGGCAGAGTCAGCTCAAAGCTTTTGAGCAGATCAAAGGTTGAAGAGCAAAGAATTGGAATCTGATTGAGTGGTTCCAAACCTCCAATCAGTGAATCGGGTGATGCTCTAATTTCTTTGCATCGGTGCACTAAGCAGCTTTTCTCCTGCAAGTCATCTCCAAATTGGAGGCAGAGTCTGCTCAAAGGTTTTGAGCAGATCAAAGGTTGAAGAGCAAAGAATTGAAATCTGATTAAGTGGCTCCAAACCTCCAATCGGTGAATCGGGTGATGCTTTAATTTGTCTACATCGGTGCACTAAGCAGCTACGGCAAAATTGAAGATGATCGATCATCGATGTTCTATTATTTTTTGCAAGAGACGATTGTTTTTAATTAATGAAGTGATGTCATTTAGGGACCAGGCACACCATCCTCATGGTGTCCTGGTCGTAGGGTATAATTTGCGTATAAACTCTGTTCTAGAATTCAATAGGCGTTAACAAAATCATTTTCGTTTACGAATCAAATCCGAGAAGGCGAGAACTGTGATCTTAACTCTGTTCTAGAACTCATTAGGCGCTAATCTGGAATTGAGTAAAGCCTCCTAGGCACCTACTAGGCTACTAAGCTAATTTTATGGCCAACTAGGTCGATTAGTCCTCCAAAATTAAGGATCACACAACACCTAAGCGTCAATTTGTCAGACCGACTAGGCCAATTAATTCAAAGTAATTGTGTGCCCAAGAGAGTCATATGGATTTTCATTTTTTTTTATAAATATCTATATTAATCTATAATTTTAGGATTGACTATAAAACATACCAAATTTTTTGAATTTATTTGATCAATAGTTTAACCCAAAATCGTATAAACTCATTGACTTTAATTATCAACGCCGGTCTTGAATAATTAATAGTCTCTTTGGCAAGCACATCTACATAGTAATTGCCCATTGTTTATAGGCAAAAACTGAACCCAAGCGTACATAAAAAATGTCATCATTGACTTGAAGAATCCTCTTCTTACATTAAAAGCTTCATATATAGCACACGATTACAAAACTAACACACTAAAAAGTAAAAAAAAAAAAAAAAAACGCAACCAGAACAGTTTTACCATTGCCATCAGTTCCTGCAAAGATTCGCAGTGGTTGGTTTGAACATAATTACTCGATAACTTTCCACTGTTCTCCAAGATCTCTGTACACATAAATATTTGCAAGATAGATTTTAGATCTAACGGTAAATAGTAGAAGACAATATATAACGAACCAAACCTGGGCGAAGATACATGTTTTAACGATAAAACATATCCATCCCCGTGGCTGCAAGTTTAAGATATACATGCACTTGTGGCTGCTGCTGATTTATGTGCGTTCTGGACCCAGTTCAAAACAGGGGTGCAATCATCACGACCAACGAAATGCCTGGTCATTTATTAAACGGCTTCATTTTTCATTTGTATGTCACGAAATATCGAAAACAAAAATATCAGTGTACATAACTTACTACCCTGTGTTTGTATTTTGTAAAGAACTTTTCCGCCTGTGGACCACAATCACCACATATATTCTACTAAAGTACTAAACACTAACTGAATTTGACAGAAACGACTGAAATTAATGGTAAAATAACAATTTTACCCTAGTTTTCGGACAGTTTTCTCCAATTCACCAAAAAAATCCTTTTAAATGCATTTTAAAGATAATTCAGTTATTTCCTTCACAATTTCAGCAAAAGGCTCTATACATTTCCGATTGCATACTTGTTTTTAGGACGATATGCCCTCATTTCTGCAATTTCACGCCGGCTTGACATATCTTTCTCCATGAAGAGAGATTGGGGAACCTCCAGAGACCCCAACTCACTGTGAAACGAATCGTATATGTAGTCAAGCACGCTTTCCTGTAACAAGGCCAGTGTATGTTAGATCTTGCCATGAATAACAATATTATTGAAAAATCTTTAAGGAACTGGAACCACAATCCCCCGTACCATTGGTTTCGAAGCATCAATCCAGTGATAAAGTGGTTCATTACGGAACCATGTGAGCTGCCTTTTGGCAAAATTTCTGCAATTGAAAAACAGAAACACCAAAATGTTTTGGAATGAACGTACTACTAGAGACAGTTATTAATGAAAGAAAAAGTTACCTAGATGCTTTCTGGAATTCAGACAGAAAAGCAAAAAACTCCCGTGAAGAGCTGGAACCCCGCTGTTCTCTGCAGAACAAGAGGTATTCCATAGCCTGATATATGTTTCAAGAAACATAAAGTTAAGTTCGCTTCAATCATTAAAACAAATCGAACCTAGGCATCAAAAAGAGGATTTGTATTTTTATAATTATTTATTACTTTATGGCCGACCCCAAATTTTTTTGGGACTAAGGCTTGGATGATGTTGTTGTATTTATTACTTTATGGTGATATACAAGGAAAAACAATATTTATTATGTTTTTTAATCATAAAAATTAAAGTGATTAAAAACCACAAATGCAAAATAAAATATTGTTATTGTCTTTTTAAGAAAGAATATATTGGTTTACTCTTGGAATACATAGTTAACATATCACACAAGTGAACTCTGTTAGGGACCCGGCCCAATTGTTACGGGCCCGGCCCAATAGAGTATAATAATAATAAAATGTATAAGTTTAGTATAAATAGAAAGAAGCTGGGGGATAGTGAGGAGGCTTTTGGATTGTTTAATTCGGGACTTGGGAGATCGAGAGTTACTCTCTTTCTTGGGGGGCTTCGGCTCATATTGGGGGCTTAGGCCTGTGTACCGATTACTGTTCTTCTTCATCATCAATACAGTTTTCCAGTTTGTTTCTTGATAATTCTGTATATTTCCTGGAGGTTTCTATCAATTGGTATCAGAGAAAAACGATCTTGTTGCTGGAACGATGGAAAGTTGGGAGCGCTATTTAGAGAAGATGAACGAAGATACCAGACGGATTTGTGAAGAGAGGCGCAAATTAAGCCTGCAAAGAAAAAATCGACATTCTGATAAACCATCGCACTCTTCGCTTAGGTCACACCACACTTCGCATCGCTCTTCGGATGCAGACATCGCAAAACCGGAAAAAAGGGGCCAGAGTCGTTCGCGACATACATCGCACTCTGCGCACCACGCGAATCATTCTTCTCATCACTCTCACCAACATAGGTCGCATGGCGACTCTCATCATCGTCGTACGCCACATCCGATTGACTCAGAGGAATCGGAAGAACAAAATCTTAGCAGAAAATCTGGAGATCAATCGAGGACCAATTCGCAGACGGAATCGCAGTCCAAATCGCGAATTTCTTCTCACATGCCGCAATCGCGAACTGATTCTCACCAGGCGCAGAAATTATCGCATCATTCGTCGCGGAGTTCTGATAGAAACCTCCAAAATCCAGAACAGTTTCCAGAAAGAAGATCAAGAAACAAACTGAAAATGTTTATTGAAGAAGATCAATAGTAACAGTAACAAGGCCGAAGCCCCCAAAGAGAAGAGACGGATAATCTCTAATCTTCCCAGTCCCAAACCTAAAGTCCAAAAACCCTCCTTACTACTCCCCCTTCCCGTCTATTTATACTAAAAATACTCATAGACCTTTATTACAATTATACCCTTATCATTATTCTTATTTCTATTAATAGTCTGATAGGTAGGTCCCTATCAATACTCCCTCCCTAAACATCCACCTTGCCCTCAAGGTGGACGGTCGAAGACAGCCAAGATCTTCTGCTCTTTCTTCCTCTTTGCGCCTCTTCCTTCCCAATATCTCTCTGATTTTTGAACCAGGAGTCTCGGTACTTCATCCCCCCACCTCACAAATGTTTCTGCAGCCAAGGATAAGTTTAGTGAAATCTCCATCCCTTCAATGGCTTTAAAGCACTCAATAACGACAGATGTCTCTTTGTGCTGTGCTTCTCCATGTGCAGCAGTTATATGTCTTGAAAGGGCTGCAACCCGTCCTTCTAGCAGATTCCACCTGAGTGATTCATCATTATGGATGCTAAGTTTTCTCAATAGTCTCCTAGATATGCACCCTCCAATCACACATGGATATGCACTCTTCACCACTTTGAATCCAGGATCCCATACATTGGCAGTTTCTTCAAGTAATCTCCTTGAAATTGCAGCCTCTGAATCTCCAGCTGCCACCCTTTCCAAATAAGCTTGAAGCCTGAGAGCTTTTAACTCATCATCTCTTGACCATTTCAACTTCTGAAACAAGCTACCTTCCTTCCTAGCTATCAACAACTCCTTCCCTGTTCCCAGGTGTTCACTCATGTTCGCCTGAAGGGCAACCCATCGCCTCACCTCATATAGGCCCTGCATGGCCTTAGCCGCCCTTTCTTTTTGTTTCTGGGATCGCACTTCTTTTAATAAGATGGGTTCGCGCGTTAACTGGCAGGTCATGGGTCGCACATCTCCAACTCCATACTCAATAGGTGGATGGTTAAAACTCCCCAGCTTAAGGAATACAGTAAACAAATTAGAGAATTCAGAATGAGCTGTGACCTTCCCTCCATCAAGAGAGAATAACTGGACACAGTCTACTGGTGCTATTCCAACTAGCAAGATATTCAACTTTGGTGCATAACAGCTCGAGTAGTTCTCTTGTCCATAATCCTCTGCAGAAGCTGGCGGAGTGCGCAACTTAGTAATACAGTAGGCAGTGCATTCTCCTTCCAATCCATTTGGCTTATCTATCATAGAAGAAACACTCTCACATCTGAAACCATCAAGCTTGTTCAATGACTTCAGAAAATATACAGAATTATATACAGAATTATCAAGAAACAAACTGGAAAACTGTATTGATGATGAAGAAGAACAGTAATCGGTACACAGGCCTAAGCCCCCAATATGAGCCGAAGCCCCCCGAGAAAGAGAGTAACTCTCGATCTCCCAAGTCCCGAATTAAACAATCCAAAAGCCTCCTCACTATCCCCCAGCTTCTTTCTATTTATACTAAACTTATACATTTTATTATTATTATACTATATTGGGCCGGGCCCCTAACAATTGGGCCGGGTCCCTAACAAATCTCCCCCCCTAAACAACCACCTTGCCCTCAAGGTGGGTGATAGGAAACAGCCACAATCTTCTGCTTCCTCTTCCTCTTCCTTGTTCCTCTTCCTTCCCAATATCTAGCAGCAGTCAGTGAATCTTCATTTGGTTCAGTCCCCTTCCCGCACTCCACATCAAGAATTATTTCTTCACTTTTCTGCAGTTCTTCATGATTTCTATGTCCTGAGACTAAAATTGTACTGGATGCAAACTCCTCTATGTAGCTTCCGGCTGCAGTTCCCTTAATTAAGGAACAAGAAAGCATATCTTCCATGTAAAACTTCCTAAATTGGTTTCCTTGCAGGAAGACAGTTCCATTACCATTAAACGACCTGGCCATTTTCCAACCCTGTTCTAATTTCACCTTTTCATTTTCTTCACTAGCTACTAAACCTTCAATAGCCACAAGTATTGCCTTGTCTTCCTGAAGTGTATCACCTACACCCTTAGTAGAATTTCTGTTCATGCTTTGAACCACTTTACCAGTGTGATGAAACACCAAAACCGAACAACATTTAGTGCCTGAGAATACCAACTCAAGTCTGCCAACACCATTTTCATTATCCATCATAGAAGTAATACCCTCACATCTGAAACTGTCAAACTTGTTCAATGATTTCAGCCCTTCCAAGTAAGTGTTGAATGAATGACAGTATATCATTTCAGATTTTAAAACATTCATCCAGTTCATCTCCTTTACGCAACTAGACTTATCAGCATCATGAATCGGTTTGTGGTTTCCAAAAATGTTAGCAGATTTTCCCGAAAGAAGCCCAACCTCCTCCTCCTCCTGAGCCTCTGTACCAGATCTATTTTTATCAATGCATAATTTTTCTGAAAAGATTTCCTTTACTTGTAAAGGTAGTTGACTTTTGACAGGAACCGTTTTAGAAGCAATTAGAGCTCTATTTCCACAGGAACATGGCTGAATAAGCTTGTCAGCAATAGAAACTTGGTTGGAAGTTAAATCCACACCCTCTGCAAGATTAGAATAAACATAATCTGGCCCGTGAATATCCTGTCTTTTCTCCTTGATTTCGTCTCTCTTATTCACTTGTTTGATCATAGGTTCAGTTGGTTCCATCTGGGTCCTCTTTGTTGACTGGGAAATTTCTGGCGCTGATGGATAAACTTGTGAACGAGAAGTTCTTGATGACCTCGATGACTCCTGTTTTCGCTGCCTACTTAACGTTGATTCCTGCAAACTGAATGAAGAAGTTCTAGAGTGCGGACTGGAAGAAGTTCTTCGTGCCCTCGAGGATTCTTTCCTTTCTGTCCTTCCTGTCTTCTGCCGGTGTTTAGGTGGAAAATCCTTAATCAAATCTTTCTTTAGAGCCTCCCAACTATCTTCTTTTTTTTGAAAATTCCACCATTGAAACCAGTCATCTGCAGCTTCCCCCATTGCCTTGGCTGCAACATCAACCTTAAATCTTTCTGCTATAACTTGGACCCGGAAATATCTTTCCATCTTCTCTATCCATTCATAAGCTTCCTCCTCGTAAAATCGAGGTAATTTCTCCTTCTTTGAACTAGAAGAATTCCGAGAAGCAACTTTAGATGAAGAACTGTGAGAATCCTTTGAAGAGCGGTGATAAGAGTGATGCGAAGAAGTATGCTCCGAGCGATGGAAAGAACTTGATAGAAACCTCCAGGAAATATACAGAATTATCAAGAAACAAACTGGAAAACTGTATTGATGATGAAGAAGAACAGTAATCGGTACACAGGCCTAAGCCCCCAATCTGAGCCGAAGCCCCCCAAGAAAGAGAGTAACTCTCGATCTCCCAAGTCCCGAATTAAACAATCCAAAAGTCTCCTCACTATCCCCCAGCTTCTTTCTATTTATACTAAACTTATACATTTTATTATTATTATTATACTCTATTGGGCCGGGCCCCTAACAATTGGGCCGGGTCCCTAACAAACTCACTATAATTTATCCTCCTTAGTTGATTTATCTTTAAAAATCACTCATCACGCTTAGGTTGCGCCTTTAGCCTAAGTTACGCCTTTGGTGGTTAACTCTTGAGTTGGCTGCCTTTTCCAAACTAGTGGCTAGCCTCACTCCTAGGCAACACCCTTTAGCTGCCTTTTGGAACACTGGTTCTTGGGGAATCAACAATCCCTAATCCTTGTAAAATGTTCCTTTGGTGGTCAACTCCTGAGTTGGCCGCCTTTTACACACTAGCGGCTAGCCTCACTCCTAGACACACATAGGCGACACCCTTTGGGTGCCTTTGGAACACTGGTTCTTGGGGAATCAACAATTCCCATTCCTTGTAACATGTTGATAGAGATACAAGTCATGGACTGGAATATATTCCAAGTTTCCAATAGGGAAGATAAGGGATATACTTGTCGATAACCAATAGCCCGAGTTGCAGAATTTGAGTTTGGCAAAAGACCCAAATCAAGAAGCCACCTAGCCTCGGACAGAATTCCATTTTCATCTGTATAGTGGAATAAAAATGAAACACCACTAGGATTTGACATGTCATGCAGGGAAGTGGAAATGAGAGTCATTCAAAAAAACATGTGAGCCCAAATCCGCAAAAAACAACAACAGGTCAGAGAGTAAAACAGGGAAAAAAGGAGTAACCATGAAAGATAATATATGGTATACCTAAGAGCATATCTTCGCATCGAAAATCAATTGATCTGTAGAGATCTAGTCTCTGGGTAGTAAGAAAGAAACAGACAAAATCATAATCCAAGTCCTTTGACTTAATATGTTGAAGCCCATTATCGGCTAAACCGCTATTGGCAGAAGCATCTGCTACTCCTAATTCAATCTGTTCTTTGTAAGAATTATATGGTACTTCGAAAGCTGATGGAGATAACCCGCTAGACTGCAAGTAAAAGGCTATATATAGTTAACAACTTCATTGGCAATGAGTCCTCGAATATGCACAAGTATCATAGATGATGGAATTTGGTATATTAAAATGGGAAGCATACTTTGTAGTGGGTATAAATATAGTGCAAGTATAGGAAAGAACAACATAGCATGGGCATTGGGGTGCACAAATAAATATCAGAAAGTTGCAATTACTTTAACAATTTCGAGCCTGCGACGTAAACGATACCAATCATTTACTGCTAAAGACTTAGCTCCTGGATCGCCAGCTTTAACCACCAACTCAACAGCACCATCCCAGTTGTCATCCCTTTGTAAATCTGCAATCTGTGTATGCACTTCAGACGTTATCTCTCGAGAGGCTTTAGGGACATCTGGCTTCCCATAAACAAACCTTGAATTTTGGAAAGGATGGTCATCACATAAGTAGGTTTGTTGAGCTTTTGAACAGTTTCTCAATATAAAGCAGCAAAAATTATAATCTCTCATTTTCAAGTTTTTTCAATAGATAGAGATCATATAGAACAAAAAACGCATGGCGTGTCAAATGGATATTTTATTGCCCAGACATTTCTCTGACAATTTGTTAAATTTATACTGAGCATTTAGTGCTTTGGGAAAAGAAATAAGGAGGCTTGCTAAAGATAGATGATAAAATAGAAGAAGCATTTTAAATGTGAGAAAAATAAGAAAACATACCACCGTAAATACAATCCTGTACCACCTACAACAATTGGAACACGGCCCTTGTCAATGACATCTTTAGTAGCTTGCCTTGCATCCTCAAAAAACTTCCCAACAGAATAATCTAGTTGCACAAATGTGAGCGAGAAAGAAAATGTTTCATCATTAAGGGATACAAGTTTATTGCCAAAAGAATAGAGATCACCATAACTCCAGAATTACATATTCGAACAATTGTTCTAATTCCTGTCATGGTTTCTTCAAAAATATTTTGAAAAAGATCTTATTAAAATCTGAGACGTGAAGACGTATATACAGAAGAGCTTCACTAACATTATACTATTCAGGTTCTTTATATAATGCAGAGAGCAATACCAATACCTTCAGATGGATGCAAAATGTCAACCAGATGGTGAGGCACCTCCTGAAAAGATAGTGAAAACAACACTTAGCATAATAACAAAAAGCAAACTAATCAGATGTCTAATCATCAGGCATTATAGATTTTTCTCTTCCAAGGTCTCTCATTTTAAAAAACATACTTGATTGAATGGAACTGACAATAAGCATTGATATTAGTTGTATACATTATTTGTCAATGAAATAAGGAGTCCATCTTAGCGTGCACAACCTGAATTGTATGTCCATACTGAAGTAATTATATACCACACGCTACAAAGAAGCAGAACATTGCAATGTGGAATAGTCTTCTCCCTACTATGCCAGTTTGGTCCGTCCACAAAAATAGTCTAGTAGTTCCTATATTATGTGTGAATTTAATTTTCACTTTCAAGCTTACTCCTACTTAAATTTTCAATATATTGGGACTCAAAGATTTGAGTAAAATGCAGATAAAACAAACGTCAGCAATTGCAAATGCTTTGAGAAGTAAGAAGCAAATGACCAATTGAGAACACATTAAATATTATAGTACCAAAGTCCAGCAGAAATACAAACAGTTTATAGTCCCCGATAACAACCAACTCACAACATGTCAGTGATGTTGCTGGAACTGCCATAAAAGCAACAACTACAACAACATCAACAACATTACCCCAGTGCCGCAACGGCTTCCACCTACGGTGGGGTAAGGGGGTCGGATGTATGTAGCCTTACCCCTGTACTAAAGCACATAGAGACTGTTTCCGGATGACCCATGATGAAAATCGCATTGAAAATTTTATGAACTGACTGTTGCTTCATAACAAAGAAGCGGACATAGTTTAGTGAGTGATTTTGCTTTATTCCATCATATCCCCAACCCAAAATATAGTTTGTCTTGTCTCCATTGAAAATGATGGAACTGGAACTACCATAAAAGCAAATACATAAAATGTGTTTCTTCCATTGAACAAACATACTATGTATGTACCTTTCTTTCAGTGAGAGACGGTTTTGCTGAACCAATATCTAGCCCTCTGTACACCTGGAAATGGTAAAAACAATATCTCATAATTACTGCTACAATTGTTAATATATGCTCCATACTACATAGTAATCATCTACAAAATCAATACACTACGAAATTCCAATACTTACTATACAAAATTCATGATTTTATCATTATAGTAAAATGATTAATGAGAGTAAACAGATTGAGAAAATTACAAACTTGCACGGAGTCTGCACTTATGATTTCTCCATTGAGTCGCTTCGCAAGATCAAAAGCAAGCTTGCTTTTCCCAGCACCAGTAGGTCCAGATAACACAATCACCTTCTCCTTCCTTCCTCTTGTCACTTTGGTAGAGACGGAGCAGGACGTAGCAAATAATCTGTGCCGATGCCCTCGGGACTGGAAGTCATACGGGTAGATAAAATGAGTCTCTACTGTGTACCAGGGGCGAAGGCAGCTCATCCTGATACTCTCTCTTAGCATTTGATTCAGGTTAAGCATTGCCATTCTATTTGCTCTCAAGAGTGACTGATGTATCTAGACCTGGCAATTTGCGTTCACAAATACAATACTTGTCAACATGATAACCAATTACCAGATTCCAGATAAGACTAAGCACAAACATGGCACATTAAAATAAATATGTCAAACTTCATCACATGAGCATAACCGTGAATTTTATACACCTATGTCCCTCAAAGGTTTGTCACTTTACTAGTTATATGGTCAACGTGACAATGTCATTCCTTTTTATTGCATATCAAATGTTCATCTTATTCAAATTAGGCCTTTGGGGTTCAATGGACCTTTTGGGAGATAAGGAGAGTGTTAACTTTGTTATTAGTCAAACATTGTATACCTTAATTGGTAATCCAATTCGGAAGGAGGTAGTGTAAGTTAATTAGGTTGAAAGAACAGACATCTTTAATTAACAATCTTGGCCAGGATAAGTTGATAAACATGTTCTACGAGATTTTACATATAAGTAAACATACACCCACATATACATGCATACATCCATAACGTACGTTATTTAAATTTTATGATAACAATATGTCAAATTGCAATATAAATAGGGGAAATGGTCAAATAGAGTAGAGGGGGTTTGACTTTGCACCCCTTAAAAAAACTTTGACTTTGCACCCCATTTCAAAGTCAAAGTTTTTTGAAAACGGGATACAAAATCCAATATCACCCAAAAAGTGGGGTGCAAAGTCAAATTCCCCCCAATAGAGTAATATACCTCTCATAAGTGATAAGTCATATCAGTCTCAAAAATGAAATTAACACCTGTGTTTAAAAAAAGCTAAAATTGGCAGAGATAACTACAAACAGGTGTAACTGTAACCTTTTTCAAGCTCCTCCCAGTAAAGATATACACGATTTCTATGAAAATTTATTATACGGTGGCAAGAAACATCAACAAAAATGCCACAAACAATACGAAATTGCTAAGATTTATGTTTGTTATATAACTTAGAAGCCAAGTCTACAGTTGACAAAATATATTGCTATACAGAAACCATAGATATCCTTAAGCATAGCTTATAACAATCACAAGTACAAAAAAATGGGTTAAACATGAGACCAATTACAGATAAACCCATCTCAATTGTAATTACGAATATGGTAAACACATGATCTTGCATATCTTTAATGAGTTAATCTTTAATATCATACTAAAAATAATTTGATGTCTAAAGAAAGTTAACACACATAGTCTCTTACATAAGTACATACCTTGTCATAAAAATCAAATCTTTGCACTACTGAAAATACTGATTCCTCAATATCAAATATTCTTCACAAGTAGATTCTAAAAAAAACTGAACAAAAAAAACACATGCAAGTCCAGGCCTTCTACTTGATGTTGTCAATCATCAGATAAATGAGAACACTAAGACAATGTCGAAATCCTGTGTGATATGGGAAACTTTGTCAGTAGAGAACTCCAAACCATACATGCTGTAAGAATCAAATGATGATAACAGTTCTTTGCAGTTTCTATATGACATTCCAACGGTTAATAAAAATATGCAAAATTTCATTATTAAGTCAATATATCTGGTATATGCCCCAAACATCTTTACTCTGGACCTTTTGCTTTTTCTTTAGCCTTCATATTGTTATCCATAAATCTCAGAAAGCCTCACGGCTAATCCATATATAACTGAATGTGGAAAAATGGGGTTTTAGATCACATATCCACATTTGATAAGCAAGGGAGAATTCGCCACATTTAAATATTTAATAAGCAATGGAGAATGGGCAAAATTTTCTCTATTAATTAGTTGGGAGCAACAATGAAAAGTAAACTCCTATCACCATTAACAAAATTATATTGAAGGTATGACATTTTAGGGATTGATAGGAGTGCTAAAGACTAACAGATTTTCACCATCTTAGATGAAGTATTTATGGTTTGCATTCTAGAGAATCTGCCCGAATTCCAGCCCTAGCTAAAGGCATAAGGGCTGGAGTATGAGCCTCTAACCTGTTACACAAACACTTCTAGAGTTATTGGTCTATCATTTGGAAAGGAAGTAGACAAAGCAAACTGGAATGCAGAAAGGAATTCACTAATTGCCACTACTCTGCTAGCTCAGCGCCAATTTGGGCCAACAAAAAACGCCCATACAATCCTTGGACAGTTCCACCCGCTAGAGTAGAAATCATGGAAGGGATGAGTAAAAGTTCAGCACGAAACGGAGAGATTGAAAGGAAATATACCTGGACGGTGGGCGCCACAGACGGGAACGATGGGAGTTGCTGCCTGGCCGCAGGTATGGGAGTCACTGAGAGAGGAAGGAAATGGGAGGTGTACATAACCGACGATAACAGAGCCAGAGGGAACGGAAGGAGCGATTTGACCCCTACCCAGCCCGGAAGGATCGGGCAGGGAGCGCTACCCGCAGTGCCGAAGCACCAAAGCGTTGACTAACTATCTCTTTATTATTTATACTTTTAGTTAATTTTAAAGAAGAATACTAACATATTTTATTAAAGTCCATAGATTGCGGAAGCATAAATATATTACACATCAAGTAGTTCTAATTTTGGAATAACCAAATACATCTATGAAAATTCATCATTCTATCTCATGTTTATTAAATAATATGCTAATGAGCACTTATTATGCAAACTAGGGATGAGTTATTACTACTTGTGCAAATTAAATGTGACTCTCTAGTGATTGGCTGCTTCTCCCCCAAATGCTCCTCAACTTGAATTCCGGCTCGCAACACTTCTTATTGACCTACGCGAAGGACAAAAATCCAACGCGCTAAGCAAATCTTGCTTAGTGGTGTTCATTCTTTCTCAATGTAAAATGTGTCACCATAAACCAACATAATTTGTAACAATATAATAACAAAGCAGCTTATAAATCCGAATTGAGAATATAACTTTTCTTCATAGATAATGTAGCTTGTTAATATGTCATCAAAATAATAACCCAATTTGATCACAACAATCATTTTTCCAAAATTTTCAGAATATAGAGTATAACAAATTAAAATATACTTCTTATGCACTTAGCATTTTTCCTTTTCAATATACCATTCCGATTTTCTCAACTTGCATTTCCAAATCAAATTCCTTTACGTTTCTTATTTTCAGGAATATTACTTCTTAGTTTAATGGACTGGATAAACGGGACATTCCTCATCTGGTACTGTCCACTCCGTGGCTGCGGACCATCTGAGTAGTATCAGCACTGACCGTTGTGTGAGTCAGGCCTATCGTTTGGGTACTGTCCACTCCGTGGCTGCGGACCCTAAACGACCGAGTTTCAAAATTTGGGTACTGTCCACTCCGTGGCTGCGGACCCATAATTTAATGTCATAATTCGGGTACTGTCCACTCCGTGGCTGCGGACCCGAAATTAATCAATTAAATTCTACGGCCGTATTAACTATCCCTATTGGCATGCCAACCTATCCAATCCAAAGCAAAGTTTCAATTCCCACTTTAATTTATTCATTCTCTTAGGATCCGATGCTATTGTATGTTTTATTATTTTCAATACTACGGAGTATATTATTTGATTAAACTCTCTATCTGAATCATATCGAAAGTTTTTCTTTTATTATTTATGAATCAACTTATTTTTATTTTTATTTTCTTTATGTAAAATTTTCCGATTTAGATGTAGGCAGTTTACAAGTGCCGTGTAAATTTTATCTTTTGAAATCTAGCTACTGAAATAGACAGAACATATTTATAACTTATATAAAAAAAATCCAGATTTAATATTTAAATAAATTATAATGAAAACTAGTATCGGATTACAAAATAAAGTGTACATATTAGGTAAAATCATAACTTATTAATATCTCATATATCTCATATGCGTATATATGAACCTTAAGTCATTGCTTATCTTTACAACATAGACAATTGTAAATATTAGGGAATAAAGTATACGTAGTTCGTAAAGTTCCAAATTTAATGTTAGTGTTGTAGTTTTGACTGTATCTTGTTATCATTATAAATTATTAGATAATAATCAACCTTATTAAAATGTCAAACATTATTATATATATATATATATATATCTAGCTAGATAATTCCGAAAATCATTTATCATTATTAAAAATATAAATTGCTGAATAGTTAATATGGCGGGTATAACTCTCAGATTTCTAATGTACTTTTATACTTATTAACTTCAATCCGATGCATTTTTTTTTTTTAAAAACAAGTAATGATTTATTATACAACTGTATATGTATGAATTAGGAAGACCGTAATGTTCAATGTATAAGTAAAGTTTGAAAAGTTTGCTTATTACATATGAGGTAGAAATTTCAAGTTTAAAAAAAATTACGTTAGTTCATTTACCACAAAGAAAATGCTAGAATCTTAATTTAAAAGTAAATTACTTCTAGAGATAGTATAATTTTCTTTTTCCTCAACCACATATTATCCAAACCTTCATTTTGAGCTTTCAATAAACCTTGGTACTAACTGTTCCTTGATCATAAAAAAAATATGGAATTCTGATCTAGCTTCTAGCTAAGCGTCAACTAAATTATACGGAGTACTAAGTAATAACTATAAAAAGAAAATATCAATATTGAAATTAAATAGCATAATCGAACAGCATATATATATCAAAACGTAAATTATACAATTTAGTAAATGAATAAATGTAATCATTTAACAATAAATTTAGAATATAACAATTAAATTTAAGTTGAGAAGGGAATGAACACAGACCTTAAAATTTAAGCAAGCTTTTTACTCCTTATTTCCCTCCTAACCTCCTATCTCCCTCCTTTCTCCTAGCTTTTCCTCCCTTGGCATCATAACTCTCGGCCCTCTATGTTGTTTATTTTTTTACACTCCCAGTAATATGTATAATTCAAAAGCATGTGTCCCCATATATCTATGATGCATGGCAACATGGCTTGTGTTTTTTTATTCCATTTGTCACATTTGGTGTGCCAAGTGTCCTTAGTATTAGTTGAGTTTGCATGATGATGGACGAGTGGCATACTTAGTTATTTAGATTTAATTGTTTAGCTATTTTAGTTCTTTTATGAGTTTTCCCAAGGAATTTACATGTGGCAAGCTAAGTCAACTTCCACAAATTTTGTGCATTACGAATTGAAAGTTAGCTTATATTACTACTATTATTTTTTTTTTCTTTTATTATAAAGTTTTATCTATTTACCACCTCATTATACGAGCTGATTTCACAAACACCTTTTTAGGTGCTGTTCTATTCGTCTTATTCTTATTACTTATTGCTTATTCTTATTTTATTCAGATCAGATCAAATCAGAAAAATTCAGATCAGATCAGATCAGAAAGATTCAGATCATATCAGATCAGATCAGAAAAATTAAGATCAGCTCAGATCAGATCAGAAAGATTCAGATCAAGTCAGAAAGATTCAGATCAGATCAGACCAGATCAGAAACATTAAGATCAGATCAGATCAGAAAAGTTCAAACATGATTTATCACTTTTATTATTATATTAATTATTATTAATATTGTTATTACTATTATGATAATTATTATTATATAATTATTATTAATTTATTAATAATAATATGATAAAGAAATAAGATATTAATAATAGTTATAATATTTTAATATAATAATAGTAATATAAATGCAATTATTAAGAAGACTATTATTATTATTATTATTATTATTATTATTATTATTATTATTATTATTATTATTATTATTATTATTATTATAATTATTATTATTATTATTATTATTGTTATTATTATTATTATTGTTATTATTATTATTACAATATAATAATAATATGATTAATATTATTATAATATTATATTATAATTATATGTAATTATAATTATAATTAGATTTATAATTCTTATAATTATAAGTATAATCAATTGTAAATATTATAATTATATGTATAATTAATTATAATTATAATAATTATAATTATCATTACAATCATAATTATAATTATGATTATAATTATAATTATAATATAATATTATAATAATATAGTAATACTAATAATAATAATAATCGTATTATTATTAATATATTGTAATAATAGTATTAATATAATAATATCGTTATGATAATATTAATTGTATTTATAGTACTATTATTATATTATAATATTATAATTAATGTTAATATAAATATAATTATTATTAATTATAATTATAATGATTATAGTTATATTATTATATTATAATATTTTAATTAATGTTAATATAATTATAATTATTATTAATTATAATTATAATAATTATAATTATAATTATAATTTCTGATTATAATTATTATTTTTATTATAATTATTATTATTATAATTATTATTACTACTACTACTTTTGTAATTATTTTACGGAGTAATTATAATAATATTGATAACTATAGTTACAATTATAGAGATAAATATTGTAATTATAATTACAATTATAATTATATAAGTAATTATAATTAAAAATATACTTACAGTTATAATTATATCTATATTTATAATTAGTGTAATAGGTATAGATTTTTTTCATTTTAAATTTAATTTTAATTATTATTAGTATTATTATTATTATAGTTACGATTATAATTATAATTTTATTTAAATTATATTTGTAATTGCAATTATAATAATTATAATTATAATTATAATCATAGAAACATTCAAATCAAATCAGATCAGAAAGATTCAGATCAGATCAGAAGGATTCAGATCAAATCAGAAACATTCAGATTAGATCAGAAAGATTCGGATCAGATCAGATCAGATCAGATCAGATCAGAAAGATTCAGATCAGATCAGATCAGAAAGATTCAGATCAGATCAGATCAGAAAAATTAAGATCAGATCAGATCAGAACTTAAAAAATTCAGATCAGAAACATTCAGATCAGGCGAAGAGAACAGCTTCTTAATCCCTATAATGCCTTAAACTAGACTAGACTGGGTAAGAAAAGATTTCCAGTTTGAAGCATTTTTGTTCTGAGCATCTCTTGTTTGTATGATGTAGTAGTTTTTAGAACGAATGCTAAGAACAAAATGCCTCAAGTAGAAGACCCAGAACTACACAGAGTAAGGTAAGTAGGGTCCAATTTTGAAAATCAGTCAAATGGGCCAACCCTACAATTAAGGATGTTTTTACTTGGACTGTGATTTTTCTGGTCGGGTCTGATCTGGTCTGGTTTGAACTGGTCTGGTAAGGTTTGGTTTCTTTGTATTTTTATAACTATCCAAGTCTAGTCTGAATTGATCTGGTCTGATCGGGACTGATCTGGTCTGGTCTGGGATAAAATTAGAGTCGAAGTAAAAACATCCTAACAAATCAATGTGAGTGCTAAGAGAGAAAAAATTGTATTCATTCATCCAATTCATCAAATCATCATCATCACCTCACTGTCACACAAAGACTCCGACTTCTGTAGGCAAACTCATGGATGGT